TTTCATTTTAATGCGTTTCCCTCAAAATATAGAAGTTTTTTAGTTTCATGTGATTCCAGTGGTTTCTTTTTGCATTTGCTTCCTTGGAGCACAGAAGACATTAGGGGCAGTGAAAATACTCTGCATGATATTCTCATGATAGACACAGGTCATTACACATTTGTCCAACACCCACAGAATGGACAACACCAGAGTGACCCCTGAGAGAAATCATGACTGTGCGACTATGATGTGCGGGTCCATCACTTATAACCCACGTGCCAGTCTGATCTTAACACGTGATTTGGACATGATGTGTGAAGAGTTTTATAAATTGAGGAATGAAGTGTAATTTATTTTTGAAAGCATATTTCATGTGCATGCAAGGACATTGAAATAACACTCAAGGATACGCATAAGTCATTCCCTTCCATCCCCCTTCATCCCTGTCAGCCAGTATCTGCTCAAAACCAATTAGCAATTTATCTTTTCTTTTCTAAAAAAATATATCCATGCTTCTGTCTGCACAATAATGCTTGTTTTCCCGACAGTAAAAGAGTTCAGGCATCATAGAATGGGGAAACATTTGCATATCATGAAACTGATAAAGGACTGTATCAAGAATTTACAAATAATGCTTAAAACTCAATGAATAGCAAGAAATAATCCAATTTTAATAAGGACAAAAAACAGTTATAAATATAGCAAAAAAAAAAAAAAATTGACTTCCAGGCCACCCCTGGTGCGCTGGTAGTTGAGCACAGCACTGTGAAGCTGTCCGCAGCCTCTGCAGTGCAGGTTCGATCCCATCCAGCGGGCGAGAATCCCACATGGCGTGGCAGACCTCTCCTGTCTCACCCGCTGCTCCACTCAGCAGTGTATTTCATCAGTCTGCCTGTTCTGTTCCCCGCTACATCTCTGGTAAATCTTCTCACCTCCTGTGCATCTGGCCTGTACCCTGGTTCTTGTATGCACGAATAAATAGATCTTTTTATTTATTATTATTTATAGACATAGCAACTTATGTAGACAAAGAAAAATAAAATATGAACAAATGCTCAATATCACAGTTAAGAACAACAGTGACACCATCACACTGCTGTCCAGGGTGTGCACAACAGGAGCCTCATCAGGTTCATTGTAAAAGATCTTTAGGGGCTGAGAGACACATCAGAGCCCTGGGCACAGTCGCTGCCTGGTTGAGAACAAAACAGAACCTGGTCAGAGATGAGACCACAGGAGGGACTGATGAGGGTGACTTCCCCATAGAGTCCATTTACACTGTCCCCAGGGCTCAGGGATCAAACCCCTGATCCACACTTACCTGCAGCCTGAGTGTAGCTTCCTCCTTGTCTCCCTGTGGGAAGAAACATCATGGGAGACCAGGGAACAATCAGGTCAGAAGACCTAAAGGAATCTTTTAATCCTGCACAACAGGGGAGTTTCCAGAACTGTGACTAAAGACCCAGGTCAGGACTGGGAAAAATGAAGAAAGGAGGTGAGGGGGACAGGACCAAATGCCCTCTGGGCAACACACGTGTGTGTGGATGGTACTTCCATTAAATAGGCAGGGCAAGTTCTCCCTGGGATGTGAAAGCCCTCAGTAGACAAGATCTCCCACTCCCTTCCCTACCTGAGTGCTTCTTCCTCCACATCACAGCTGCAGTCACCGCAGCTCCAGTGAGCACAGCTCCAAGGAGAACCAGGCTAGCAATGATGCCCATGGTGGGGATGGAGGACTGAGGAGGGGGCACTGGAAGGGAAGGGAAGATCATACCCTGAGCTCCAGACCTTATCCTGACCTCTGAAGGGCTCCAGAAGGGCTCCTGATGGCCCTGAGAACAGCCTCAGTGCCCACATCCTCCTCCTCACCCCATCTCAGGACTTGGGGCTCCAGCAGCCCCTCATGCTGCACGTGGCATGTGTATCTCTGCTCCTCTCCAGAAGGTACCACCACCGCCGCCCACTTCTGGAAGGTTCCATCTTCCCCAGGCCTGGTGTCCACCAGCTCCATCTCCTGGGTCAGGTCCTCCCCATCTCGCTGCCAGGTCAGGGTGATGTCCGCAGGGTAGAAGCCCAGGGCCCAGCACCTCAGGGTGACCTCATGCTCAGAGGGGGGTGGTGGGTCACATGTGTCCTTGGGGATCTGAGGTGGTAAATCAGAAAACTCCCTTTGTGTTTCCTCCATGGACACTGAGGAATCCTCATGAGACCATCCTCACAAGGGACAAGACAATTGGTGTGGCAGGAATGACAGGGGTGAAGGATGTCCTGAGCAAACTCCATACAGGCTTTGCGGACTCCACCCCCACAACACTGGGAACTACAAATTCCATGATCACCAAAGGAAGGTTGCAAGGACCTGAGGGTGGAGTTAAGCAACTAGGCTCTCCATTTGGGTATTTAACCGGTCATGTGGCCAGGAGTCTCTGGGTTGGCAACCACGAGGCGTGCTAGGTTTTCGCCACCTCTGTGGGTCACTGGGATTCCAGGTCAGCGGAACGGGTAGGATGCATTTACGAACTTATCTCCATCTTTTTCTCCCTGAGTTATTCATTTCCCATTCCCCTTCCTGTGTAAGTAAACCTTTCATCAATCTTTTGTGTGTGTCTGTAGTTTAGCATTCACAAGTCCTCTTTAAGCACACAGGTGAGGACCCACAATCAGGAAACCCCATTTTATATCAGGGTTTGCCCTGTAACAGCTGAAGCATAAACTGTAAAAAACAGGCTAATCTGGGGAATCTGTGAGATTCTCCTATTCCTCAGAAAGTTTTAGAATGAGGAGGAAAACCCAGGGTAGGATGAAGCAGAGGGAGTGAACACAGACTTTTTATTCCTGACCTGGGTGGAAGGTGAATGACACAGAAAAGCAGGAATCACATAACTGACAATGTTCTCAGACCAGAAACAAGACTGAGAGAGAAACTGGTGGTTCTCAAACAGGCCCCTGGTCAAAAGGACCCGGTGACGTGTGATGTCAGGGACTGTCTGTCTTTCTCAGGAGAGACGGGATCCCTTCACTGTCCTTCAGGAGAAGCCGGAGTCTCTGGGAGTCTCTCTAGTGCAGAACATGAAACCCGGGAGTCCCCTCTCGGGACTAGAGAGAGGACTCATTTCCCACAGTGACTCCAGGCAGGGGGCACCGGGAGGCCTCCAGGCCCCTCTTACCCGTGCGCTGCAGAGTCTCCTTCCCGTGCTCCAGGAATCTGCGCAGCCACCTCAAGCACCTGCCCTCCACAAACTTCCTGAATTCCTCTGCCTCACCCAGGCCTCCCACTCGCGCCGGGTGATCTGAGCGGCCATGTCCGCCGCGGTCCAGGAGCGCAGGTCCTCGTTCAGGGCCAGGTAATCGGCGCCATCATAGGCGAACTGATCATACCCGCCAAGGAGGCGCCCGTCTGGCCCCACGTCGCAGCCAAACTTCTCCT